AAACTGGAAGGTTTAGAGCTCAAATACTAGACAGAGCATTGCACCCATGAGGCAGGTACTTCATTCATTTTTCTCTAATAAGATGTCCAGCTGTATAAGTGGGTAATCTCCAAATTGTCATTGAAAATAATAATTTGTTCTCAACTGATTAAATTACATTATTATTAGCATCACCAGGTAATGGAATATCCAATAAGCAATCTTAGAGTATAATAACACCAACAGCGACAAGAAAAGAATGTTACATAATTAAGATCAGTCTTGAGTAAATGCTAGGGCGGGACTCACTGTAGCTTCTTGTTTTCCTCTATGATCTGCCTCAACAGGTTGGGCAGACTGTGATCAGGCCCATGGCTTTCTCTCTTGGCCTCTGCTACCCCCACCATCCCCGGCTCACTACTGCTCCCTACAGGGAGAGAGGGGTAGAACAATGGCAGTAGCAGAGCCAGAAAGCAGAGAACCTGTCGAGATGTTGGACTGGCCTGCAATCTAAGGCCTGAGCAACAGATGCCTTCTTTATTCTAGCACAAATTAGGTCAATTTGAGAAGATGGGGAAGAGACACAAGCAATGCAAATACAATAAAAACAAATGTGTAAACATATGTCTTCCAAGGCAGGCTCCTCTTTAACTACTGACCTGTCCGGAGACCTCACAGAAAAAGCTGACACCCTTATAAGAGATTGAAAAGGACTCATACTCCCAGCACCCTGTCTGCCCACTCCAGGATTCCTCTCCCCCTCAAGAAACTGCAGTTCTTGTCTCAGCAGCACATTTTCACTGCGCAGTAGCCTGACCTCCCTCTCCAGGCTGATCACCAGCTTCTCTCGCAGGTCCTGCACAGGGGCACAGCAGCACAGAACTCTGGGATACTGGATTGCCAGGACGACGCCCTCTGACCTTTGCCCCTGAACTTGTTTCACTGGGAGGCAAGATTCTGTTCTGTCAAAAGTCTAGCTCCAGCTATGTTGCTCTTTTAAAAAAAAGAAAGATTATAAGTTTGTTTTGCTTAG